AAAAAGTTTTAAAACGTTTAACTTACTACGTTAGGTTTGTTCGTAAAAAACGAAAAAAAGTAAAGTACGACACTAGAGTAGTCGACGACTACTACTCTCTCCTCCTCTCTCTCTCTCTCTCTCTCTCTCTCTCACACTAATAAATCTGTTGGTTGTTATTTGTCAACAGGCATTGCTTGCATCACCGTTATGTTCGTTACAACCTGGCTCATGGCTCTGGTCATCATTTTCGTGTGGCAGAAGAGCATCCTCGTCGCCCTCTCCTTTCTCCTCGTCTTTGGCTCCATTGAGGCCATGTACCTCTCAGCCTCCGTCATGAAGGTAGCTCAAGGTGGTTGGGTACCCATTGTCCTCGCCTTTGTCTTCATGCTTGTAATGTATGTTTGGCACTATGGCACTCGACGTAAGTACCTCTTTGACCTCCAAAACAAGGTCTCCATGAAATGGATTCTCACTCTTGGTCCAAGCCTAGGCATAGTACGAGTGCCTGGAATTGGCCTTATATACACAGAATTAGTAACTGGGGTGCCGGCCATATTCTCTCACTTCATCACCAATCTCCCCGCTTTTCACCAAATCCTTGTATTCGTATGTGTAAAGTCAGTTCCTGTCCCTTATGTTACACCAGATGAGAGATATTTGATTGGGCGTATAGGCCCGAAGGCCTATCGTATGTATAGGTGCATAGTGAGATATGGGTACAAAGATGTGAGAAAAGACAATGATGACTTTGAGAACCACCTTATCTTGAGCTTAGCAGAGTTCATTCAAATGGAAGCAGAGGAGTCTCAATCTAGCAGCTATGAGGGCTCGACTGATGGGCGAATGGCAGTGATAAGTACACCGGTAAGGCCTGGTTTGAGGTTGGTTGAGTCAGAAAACGAAGGGGATGACTCGATTCTCTCTCTAAGAAGCAGCAAGTCTTCGACTTTGCAAAGCTTGCAGGCCATGTATGAGCAAGAATCGCCTCAAGCGATGAGGAGGAGGAGGGTGAGGTTTGAGCTGCCTAAGAGCCCAACGGTGGATGCCACAGTGAGAGAAGAGCTAATGGAGTTGATTGAGGCAAAGCAAGCCGGGGTGGCATATATAATGGGCCACTCATATATCAAGGCAAGGAGGACATCGTCGTTCTTGAAGAAGATTGCGATTGACATTGGTTATGCATTCTTGCGCAAGAATTGCAGGGGGCCAGCTGTTGCGCTCAATATTCCTCACATTAGCTTGATTGAGGTGGGCATGATCTACTATGTTTAGGATCTCTTCTCTCTTCTCTCTTCCCTCTCTCTCTCTCTCTCCCCCCTCCCCCCTCCTCTCTCTCTCCCTGCAGATATTTTTTTGCTGGGTTTTTTGTTTGATCTGAAAGGATTGAAAAGAAAATGCAGGTGAATGACCCCCTCTATAGGGTATGCTAATTCATCTCTCATGTATGCATATGTATAGTCACTTTCATTTGATAGTTTCATCAATGTTCTTAATGACTAATAAGAAGCGGCAGAGTTCTATTGATGTATCTTATTGTTTCTCATTAGTTTTGTTGATGTGAATATTGTCTTTCTATGCTGGTCTATTAGATTCAGTTATCAGTGATTTAAAACTTTCCATGCCTGGGAATCGGTTGGATTCAAATGGATTTAAACGGTTCCTAATAGAATCGGGCAGGGTATGTTAAGGAATCGAGTGATTTGGGTCAGCGGAATCACCCAATTCCTTCCAACCCATTATGTCTTCAAATATTTTGTCCAAGGGGGGGGTGATGTTTTATTTTTTCATCTTTTTTCACTTCAAAGTTTGACACTTGTACGCACTGAAAATGTGAGGAGGCCATTTAGAAACGGACTGACAAGGTCATTCCAAGCTTTACTCTCTTCCAAGAGTCAAAGCCATTTAGTACTAAATGCGAATTATCTAAAACATTAAGCATCCTTTTTCGCCTCCCATGTTATCACTCCCCAGCACGCACAAGCGCACAAACTCTCTCTCATGATTCAAATATATCTTCGGGAGTGTTTCTAATTCCTTTCCCTACTATTTCTAGTTGCCCCCCCTACATGAATTACACAAAAATATCAAAAAGGTCTATTCAACCTCTCAAAATATCAAAAAGGTCTTTTGAGCCTCTCTCTCTCTCTCTCTCTCTCTCTCATATATATCTATCATCTTCCCCCCCCCTCCTCTCGCATATTTCTATCCTCTGCCCCTCATATTTCTCTCTCTACCCAAGCGAGTACAAAACCTAAACCAAAAGTATGCAAACATCTTCTGACCTCTCTCTCTCTCGTTTGACATTCCTCGAATGAGTCTTACTTTCCCTTGAAAAAACTCAGTGTCCAGTTCCCATGGCTTAATTTCAGTTGATAGGTAGGAAAAAAAACAAACTCAGCCCAGTTCCCATGGCTTAATTTCAGTTGATAGGCCTCAGGTACAACCAGGGTCTATTGCATGAAACCCAACAGAAAAGCTTCGCCTGAGTAAATCATGCAACATTTCCGTTGCTCAATTCTTTTACTTCATGCTGGTATTGAATCCTTAATAATTCTAAAAAACAAAACATAATTTGAAGAGGAAAACAAAAGCCAGCCTTATACATTTGTGTTCCCTGCTTCTTCAACCATGTAAAGCATATGCAAAACACAGGCAACTTTGAACAACAGTTCAGATTTCATTTCATGTAAAATTAATGGCTTTGATACAACAGCAATTCCGGCTCCTGAAAAATCTGAACCATCCGTCACACATTGCTGAATACACCTAAAGCAATCACAGTTAAGACACTACACTACCGAACCCAGTCCAGAAAGAAAAAGAAATTCAAACATCAGACCCATAACCAGCAATATACAGAGCACAATGCTTTCTTTTGAAGGGCGCGAGGGGGAAGGGGGAAGGGGGGGGGGGGCGGCGACAAACAAGATGGGCATCTTATTAAACTAGGTTAGCTTAAGGAAGCTGTAGAGCTTGACCAATATTGGCACATTGAGGGCAATAGGAGCTGGATTTGCCGATTCTACACTGTTAATAACTGCTGCTTCTCTGTCCCATATATATAGCCCACTTTGAAGACTTGTGTATACATTAAAGAAAGAAAAAAAGAAACAAATGAAAATTGAATCAGCTACATACAAGGGTGAGGGCCCCAAATCACTATCTGTCTGCGAGCTTGCGCTTCATTGGCGAGCTCAATACCGAAGAGTCCGAAGCAGCAATGGAGCCACCATTTTGGGGAGGATAGAGACTTCCAGCCACAAGAGAATCACTTACCAGACCAGCTTCGTCAAAGTTAAGCCTAGCATTGACCTTCCTAGTGCTGAGAGAGAGAGAGAGAGATAGATCAGTAAAGGCATCCTATTGGATATATGCTCCATAGACTATCATCTGACAAGAAAATTCCATTTGTATTCTGTATATGTTAAACCATACAGGATACATGTGTGGCATACTCACCATGTCAATAATTATGTTCATGTATATACATATATTGAAATGCTGACGAACATGCATGTCTATATATATTAACGAGAAAAGGGGTGCCAGCATACCTGTTTAAACGGTTATTGATGACCGTCAAGTCCTTGGAAGGGCTCTGATATGCATGAGTGCTCTCACCAACACATGCATAGTAGCTTTTAGAGTTGTGTGAAATCAAGGTCTCCATCTGAAGCAAGGAACACAACCAGTTTCAAGAAACATCTAAAAACAAAGAGGATGCCAGAGCACCATGCATAAAGGCAAACAAATTCCATCAGTATTTTTTGGAAGTTAAGATTGCATCACAGCAGCTGTTTATCGTTGTGGTCCTGTGAAGATTATCCCCCAACATCCTCAAATAACAATGAACAGTTTAAACAGCCAAGAATTTAATGAGGACAAAAAAAGAAAAAAACAAAAATAAATAATAGCAAGAACAGCCAGCAGAAGGAAGTAACACGAAAAAAATCAGCAAGAAAGCCCACAGTAAGACTGGCTTTCAATAAGGAGAGAATCATGACGAGAACCCCACAGCGGAAATAATAGCAAATGAAGCAAATGCAAACAAAAGGCTGTACCTTTGATGAGCGAAGGGGAGACACATAAATGTTATGTGTTGCAGAAACCTTCTTGGGAGACATGTCAGGAAGGCTTGTAAATGGAGACAACCGGGGAGACCCTGGAGGTTGACCTGTTAAGGACATACATTAAAGCACTATCACTTATTACTCTCAAAATTTGCCATTTACACTGGGAATGTATATTTTAATCTAATGAAAGCATGGAAAATCACAGCCAATCAAGGTCATCACTGCCCAATGAAATGGACAGTGATGGAGATAGTGGCACCCACCAGAACCGGACATGACCCCCAATGGTGGGTCTCACTCTCTCCAACAAAACCCATTATTTTTATTTGATGACCTGATGTATGGCCTTCCATGGCCCATTGGATTATGGTATGATCTCCCTATACACTAACCTTCTCACAAGTCACAACTAACTAAACAGAGAGAGTATGGTATACCATCAGCTTTGTTATTCTCTTCAGGCATCCTGATAGTTTTAGCTGCAACTCCTGCAGGACCAAGCTCCACCAAGAGAGGCTTTACCGCTAATATGAACAATTCATTATAGAATCTGATGATATCAACATGCTCCTGCCCTGCTTTCTGTTTCCAAAGGAATTTCAAATTATTTTTCTGTTTTTGATAGGTTAAAAAATTTTATGGTCTAAAAAGGGTGATGACCTTAAACTTTCCCTTAACCCCATCCCATGCCCGGGTAAAGGGGCATATTGTTATGTTAGGTAAGCAGCCAACGTAAAATTTTGTCAAAACTTATCATGAATCCTGATAACTATTTTACTAAGGATATAGCATTTAATAGGACAAAATGGAGAACCAAGATTCATGTAGCTGACTCCAATTAATTGGGAAAAGGCTAAAATGATGATGATAGATTAAAGAATTTGAAATTAGAATCCATCCAACCCACAATTTTACCAAAAGCAGATCACTCCAGCTGGTTTGATGCAGTTGGTGCAAATGGACTCTAAGCCTCTGAAGCTATACCTTTAAAATGGAAAGTTGCAAGTAAGTGGTAAACTTGCCCATTGAACTAATCTACTGACTGATTCTGGATCTCGGACCAATGAATGGGGATATTGCCAATACTCAAAGAAAAAAGGAAGTGACTTAGACAAAAAGAGAAATGCCATGGACAAAAAGAAAACAAAGTGACTTAGACAAATCTTTTTTGTCGATAACCTCTGACCAATCAATTGAATGTTGATTAATAAGTAATCAATCGAACACTACTTGAAATGGTTCTTTTGTTCAGAAACGAAGTGTTCCAAATGTTCTTGGAAATTCTTGGACCATTTGTATAGATGTGCATTTGGATCCCGATTAATGGATCTCTTGGTTCGAGTAATAAGAGGATCAAACCATTTCTTCATGCTCTTCTTCAAATTCAATAAATGTTGGTTGATCATATAGTTCACTTCAAATTGCCCCAATCCAATGGGTTCTTTCAAAAAACAGGGGAAGGGGACAAAACCAGTTGAAGTTGGCTGGTTTGGTCGCAATGGAAGTCCTAACAACTTCTTCCCTCTTCTAGAGATTAGAGGCAAGGAGACCGCCTCTCCTCATTTCTCTTTTCAATCATAGTCGAAATCTTCAGCTCATTTATTACTAAGATATACAATTGGGGTATGCTCGAAGGCCTTGACACCTGGCAGAGGGGCCCAATCCTGTCTCATTTACAATTTACAGGTGATACTCTTGTCCTCTGTGCTGCCACACCACAGCAAATCAACCAACCCTGGTTAGTTATCCAGTTTCAAGTTTGCAACTAGGCTCAGTCAAAATGTCCAAAACCAAACTCATGAATTTAGGAATATATTCAAGCCTTAGCCAAAAGAATGGGGTATGGCACTCAACATTACTGAGCAACTATCTAGGCTTATAACTATGCTTAGGAAACCCCAAAAATCCTTATTGGACAGGGGTTTTGAGTGTACAGTAGCAGCCCGTAAATGTCAGTTCCTCTCCTTTGGGGTTCACAAAATCCAAGCATCTTTCAAATATAAGTCTTTAGGATGCCTGCATCCATTGAACACAAACTAGAGTGCATGATTCCTATGGAGTGGGGGCTCGTGCCTCACACAAATTCCACAATTAAATGTGGGAAACAGTACGCTTAAACCCCAAGGTGGGCTGGGCATAAGAGGCCCTCAGAATGCCAACTAGCCTCTGCTCTGCAAGTGGCTGTGGCATAATGCCACAGAAAATAAATGGCATGAGGTGATCAACCATAGACATGGCTCCCAAGATGCTACCCGGCTGCCTAGAGCAAGAGCAACTTCCAGGGCCTTGGGTGCCCGGAAGCCATCATTGGCAGCTTCCTATTTATCTCAAACAAGTTTCTGTATGCTGTCAAAACAGGGGACCAGTGCACTTTTGGAAGGCCTGTGGAATCAACCTTGACTTTAGGATGTCAACTTCCCTAGATGATCTCACATAATTTTAATTTTTTTTTAATTTTTTTTCACCCCGGAGGATCAGTCGACCTGAATCAGAATAGCCAATCTGGATTGACTCACTGGAGGGCTGATCTGGGACCCAATTCTGGATTTTATAATACTATTCAGGCCACATTGGTTTCTCGGATGCAACCTTCGCTAAAGCACAGGCACTGCTCACAGGTGTCAAATTGCCCAATAGGAAATCGGGGTCTGTTCTATTAATTGAAGCTGCTTCGCACAACACCAACTGTGCAAACAAATCTTCCCCTTGCCCATGGCACACTGAAGTATTGAACACATTTTTCATATATCTTTAAGCATTGTTTCCCACTACAAGTCACTTGAAGCACAGATGGAAGGAAGCAAATGCCATGGAAGACTCTTAGGCCAAAGACGGGGTGTCTAGACCAGACCTCTGTACACCCCCCACCATAACTTTACCATTTTAACAAGGTAATTTTTCTACAAAATACACCGACCGATGTCCTAGCCCACAAGTGCCATATGTATACCATTTATCCTCATTAATACAAAAGTCAATTCATTAAAAGAGTTGGCTGCTTTGGGCTCAAAGCCTCAAGTTAGCCATAAGTAGCTCATATCATTGATTAAAACAGTGTTCAGTTTTGAGATCAAATATATCATAATTCAATGAAGCATGGTACATGGTACTATGATCCATTCCCAGTGAAGGGCCAGTGGAGATGAACTGTGCCAGGGTGAAGGTCCTGTTAGACCCCACTACAGTTGATATCCACTTTCAATCAATCATCAAGAACAGATGACAGATGCACTTTGCATAACCATATACCAATATACCATACTTGGCCGATGATGGTATACTTTCGCTTCAAGCAAGTTTCTTTTAATCTCTTTAGCCCACACCATACCCTAATGTCGGTTTCCATCCATTTTGGCCTGAACATCGTGGCTTAGAATTGTCAAAACTCATCAATAGACAAAGAGACAATAAAGGACGCATATTTACCCCGTTGCGGCTTGTTGATGGCCAGTCAACAAAGACACTCCGAAAGACCTGGGGTTTGCATTGAGGTTGTTTCCTATAGTTGAAAATGATTTCCCTGAAGGTCAAGTTTAAATGGAAAATCTGCAACAACCAATGAAAAATATGATAAGGACGAAAACCAGGAAAAAAAAAATACAGAGAAAAAACTACTAACCAAACAGACCTTAGAAACACCATAAAAACTGCAAAGGATAATCTGGTCAATATGCCGATTGAAAAATAGAACTGTTTGGCGATTAATGATCTGTTGCACAAGACTATAAACACTCTCCATGACATTGTTGGGTTGCTGTAGCCTTTCACACAAGCTCTTGATTCTTATGGCAGCTAATTTTAGAACCTATAAATAAGAAATAAAATCTCATGAGAATTATGGCAAAAATATAGAATTAAGAGCATGTATTGGCACGTTTGAGCACATTTATATGTGTATTGATGGATAGAATGACAAACAGAAAAAGAGAGAAAGAGAGAATAGACATATAGAGAGATAAATGCATGTCCGTACAATGAAAATTTTATAGAAAAACCAAATACCAAATCTCAGAACCTAGACCACAAATAACATTAGGTAATTAGAGTAAAATATTTTGATAGTTTATCAATAAAAAATGAAAAAATGTACAAAAACTCATGAAACGAATCAGCAAAACAATAGGAAGACGAAGCACCTTTCTAAAGAAAATACTTATTCCTGTTTCAGCACAAGTTTCCCCTCCTCCACCAGGGCTGGGCCGTGTTGGGCTGCATATGGAAAGTAATAAGTGATAAATTCTTATACATAAACAATAAAAATAATAAAATGCAAGCTGGTAGAGATAATTAAATGCAAGAATTCAGAAGTTGCAGAAAAATGCAGTTTCCCATTATCCACTGAATTACAATATGTTTCTATTGTACCTTGCAAAGGCGGACTGCAAAGGAGGTTGCAACTTTGATTTGAAACAGTTGAAAGCCAACAATCTCTCTTTAACAGGTGATGTGAATGAATTACGCTCACCCAGTACACCCACAGCTTCAGTAGAAACTCTTTTGGGAGACATGACAACTGAATATTTATCTGCATAATCAATACAAAACTTATAGAAAAATATTACGAAAATTGTCAAAATTGCAGGAAGTCAATTCTTCAAGAAGAATATGAGATAAGAAAACAGGCAACACAAAAAGAAATTAGATGTCCTATAATGATAAATAGGAAGCCACTAATACCACACTAATTACTACAAAGTAAACAAAACTATAGGAGCGATCATAAACAAGTTAAAATGCAGCTTCTGTCCACAGCTGCTTAATAAAATAATTTCAAAAAATACAAGCATATCCTCTTATATACATGTACAAAGAGATACAGACATAGCAACATGCACAAACTTCATTATAGGGAGCTACCCAAGTTGCCGCACAGGGAACCTTTTTGGCAATGTTTTGAGCTCCTGGTTTCCCTTTTCATTTTTCTATTTGAGGCTTATATCTGGATATTATCCCCTGTATGTATGACATTTTTTATTTTACTTTGAAAACTCCACCCTCTCGGTGGTTTTTGGTATAGAGCTCCCAACTTGAGGTAATCCTATTTTTTGTAACTTGTAAACCTTTTCTATACTCAATACAATTGTTAACAGGTTCAAAAAAATAAAAATAATATATATATATATATATATATATATATATATATATAGTATATATAA